GCTTTGCAGGAGACAAGACCAGAGAGAGATAGGCTGACCTTTTAAGATATTATTACAGTATTATTAGAGTTGGAATATTTGGGCTTGAATAAGAACATTGCTATTAGTGACACAAAAGGGAAAGCAAAGAATTATTTAGTAGGAAAACTATCTGATGGCCAGGGAAGGAGGACAAAGAAAGAATGAAGCTTACATGACGAAACAGCATAGGTGAAAATTTCAAGAAAATATTTGTAACTAAATACTAAATTATTAGTCAAGAGTAATACAATAGAAAGTCTCAACTATCTTTCTGACTGACTTTATTGTGGAGGAAGTTCATATATATCTAAGTTTGTTTTAAAAACTATTTTTGGAGAAATTTTGAATTCACAGTGTTCTAATCAGCTTTTTCACTGCTGTGACTGAAAGGCACAACCAGGACAACTGTAGGGGAGGAAAAGTTTATCCGGGACTCATGGTTTCAGAGGTCTCAGTCCATAGGCAGCTGACTCCATTCCTCGGGGCTAAAGGTGAGGCAGAACAATATGGCAGAGGAAGGCAGTTCATGCGATGATCAGGAAGCAGAGAGAGAGAGAGAGAGAGAGAGAGAGAGAGAGAGGGAGAGAGAGAGAGATTCTACTCTCCAGTTACAAAATATATACCCCAAAGGTACTCCCCACGGGATCCACCTCCTCCAATCATACCCTACCCACCTGCAGTTACCACTCAGTTAATCCTACTAGGAGACTAATTCACTGATTGGGTAAAGCTCCCATAACCCAATCATTTCTCCTTTAAACCTTGAATCATCTCACACTTGAGCTTTTGGGGGATGCCTCACATCCAAACCATAACACATAGCAAAATTGGGAGGATGGTACAAAGATTACCCTGGTTTCCTTCCCTACATGTATAGCCTCCTTGTTATCAATATTCCCTAACAAATCTGTATCTTTATTAAAATTCATCAACCTTAATCATAATATCCCAAATTCATCTTTATATTCAGTTTCACTTTTGATGTTGCTGTGGTTTGAGTGTCTTCATTCCTCCCAAACTCATGTTGAAACTGAATTCCCAATGCAGCAGCATTAAGAGATAAGGCCTTTAGGAGGTTATCAGGCCTGAGGGCTCCGTCTTTGAGAATGGGATTAGTGAACTTATCAAAGTGTCATCAGCTAGCCCTTTTACTACATGAGGATACCTAAATGATGCCATCTATGAAGAAATATCCAACCTAAAATCCTTTTTTTTTTACTTTTTAAAAATTTGATTTATTGATATTCTGTTTGATGTAAATACTCATCATACTTTTTTTCTTCTTTTTATTTTTTTTTTAATTTTTTAAGCAGTCAATTTTTATTAGAATTTTGAAGAAAAAATATTAGATGGCACTAGTAAAGCAGAATCAGGCAGCATTTATTAAACTGAATGCTATTTGATAGAGCTGCGGAGAGAAAGGAATTAAAATTATCATAAATTTTTAAAATATGTGTGTCTTATTTGCTCATTTGTTTTATTATACTGGTCAGTTTAAGACATAGTTCCTTTTAAAATTTTTGTTTACAAAATAAAATGTGAAGAAGAATGTTTTGTTGAAAGGAAAAAATTTGAGTCTACAAAACCAAACTAGATGGGTCACTAGGACAACAGGCATAGAATGGAGCTATCTTTTGCAAGCAGGCAGTATGGTTGGTCACAGTGTAAATCAGCTTTCCATTGCGGTGACAGAATACCTGAGATACACAATTTAGAAGGGGAAAATGTTTATTTTGGCTCATGGTTTCAGTCCGTGTTCACTTGGATTAGTTGCGTTTAGGCCGATGGCAAGGCAGTACATTGTGGCAGAAGCAGGTGACAAAGGAAAGCTTCTCACTTCATGGTAGCCAGGAAGCAGAGAAAGAGGTCTGGATTTCAATATACCCATAAGTGCATCCCCCAGTGACCTACTCCCTCCAACTAGAATCCACCCCAAAGCTTCCACCACCTCTTTTTTAAAATATTTTTTTTTAGTTGTAGATGGACATAATATCTTTATTTATTTTTATGTGATGCTGAGGATCAAACCCAGTGCCTTATGCATGTAGGGCAAGTGCGATATGACTGAGCTACAACCCCATCCTTCGACCACCTCTTAACAGTGCCATCAGTTGAGGACCAAGACTTCAACAACATGACCTGTGGGAAGATATGTAAGATCTAAACCATAGTAGTCACCCTACCTGTAAAGTCAGGAATAGGTTCCATGTGCTTACTCCTGAAGAAACAGCTTCATTACCTCCTCTTGTTATTTGTTCATTTTTGCTAGGGATGTAACACACATGGTTTTGCACTCTAGCGGTTGCTACCCAGACTCATGGTTTGCTTATCTCAGTTGCTGTTCTCGAATTGCATCTTCTATTAGTGTCCATGGAAGAGGGACTGCTGGCTCTGAACCTGTCTGAGGCTGTGCTGGATGTGATCTGCCATTGGAGCAGATCTGAAAAGTCTGGATCCATCTTTGGAGGAGGAGATCTTATCAAGTCCCAGGGGGAGAAATGATGACATTTCAGTGATTTCTTTTAAAATGTTGACTTTGAAATCTTCATAACTGATTTATGAAAAGTTGAAGATAGTGGATTGGATGACAGAAGCAGGAATAGGACTTTCATGTTTCAGTCCTTTGGGGCAAGCTGGGACCTATTTCCAATTAGCCTATAGCTTTTTTTTTTTTTTTTAAATTAACCATTTGCCTTATTTTTTCCCCTTCAAAAACAGTTGCTGTAGAGAAGAATAAAATACTTTTTGTGTACTTTTAGTATTCAGCATGTTCCTGTCTCTTAGTATGAAATAGAAGACCAAACGCTACAGATTTTAACAGATGTGCTTAAAACATTAGATATATCAGTATCCTCTGAGTGAAGTTGACAGAATTATGCTATGTGCATGTATGAATATATCACAATGAATTTCAATTTTATATCTAAATATAATGCACCTATTAAAAAGTAAATACATAAATATAAGGAAGACCAATAAAGTAGAGGAAAAGAACAGGGGTAGGGAAGAGGGGAGGAAACGAGGATTGTGAATAAACTATGTTATATGCATTTATGAATATGTCAAAATGAACCCCACTATTATATATAAGTACAATGCACTAAATAATAAATATATTATTAAAAATATTCAAATCACTTTATCTGATTTAAATAATTTGTAGTTTGCAATCAGGAGCACATGAGAGGTTCTAAGTAAAGCATCTAGTACAATGTTTGGCAAATAAGTGGCCAATAAATTGTAGCTATAATTGTTAGGTAAGGAATAAGAAATTTTATGTAGTAGTCCCAACTTTGGAGAAAAATAAGTTTTTCATCCCCCACTTCAGCTTCTTTCTCACTCCCCTGCCTTCCTGTACATATGCACCATCTCTGGAACCCAAATCCATTGGCATTTCTTTGGACTACCATTATGACATTGACTATCCTGTTTTCCTAGCCTAGCATCTTCTGTTCCCGGTTTATCTTTCTCATTTACTTTATTCCAGATCTCCCAGTCTTATGATCTGTTTTTCTGCCTGCAATGTCTAACCTTGAAAAGGTTCTGTTAATGTCATTTATGCCAAAACGTTAAAGTCTAACATAATTTTCATATGCTAATCTTGCCAAGAGGTATTTCCATTTTAATGAAGGTCAACATCATAACCTAATCGAATAAAAGTGCAAAACTTAATTTGGAGGCATTAGTAATAGGGAGAGAAGGAATGGTTTTAAAGACAGGGACTCAATGGCAACAATAAAAATAATTAATAGCTAACATTTATTCAGTGCCAACTCTATTTTGCACTGTATTCTATCTGCATTAACACATTTAACCCTCACGGCTAATAAATTACGTGTTCTTATTTTTTATATTTTTCTGATGAGGAAAATGAAGCTAAGAGAGGTAAAGCAAATTGACAAGATCATATACACCCAGTACATGGAGAACACCTGTTTGAAATGCAAGTCCATCTGCCTTACCACCTTTTCCTATGCCATCACTTATAGACTGAGTTTCCATCAGGATGGGGATCCTCCTGCTCTTGCATTTGCTATAGCCTAGTACAGTTGCTGGCACAGGGTAAACCGTCAATTAGTAGTTGATGAATGAATTAATGGAAGAATATCCATTCTGTCCAAAATCTCCTCTCCACTTACCTCTTGGATTTCCTCTTGCCTCACCCAGTATTCTAAGTATTCATAGGTACTCTTCTACTTCCTGACTTTGTGCCTTTGTCATCCTGTCTGCTCTGCCTACAATCCTTCACTTCCCATAAGTCTCTGGGCCACTCTCCCTCTCTCTCCCCTGGAGAGAGACAGAGCTGGAGAGTGGTCTCTTTTCAAGAAGCTCTGCTTATTCTAACTTCTCTTATATCCTTTCCCTCATGATTTCCTCTCCTCATCCCACCCTAGCCCAATACAGCCAGGATTGTTGCCATATCTGTCTCTTCCACTAGGCAGTGATACTTTAGAAGGCAGATGTCTGACATATTTTGTATCCTTTATTTGTACCTAACATATGTTTTTATCTTTTTTTAATCTTTTTTTTCATTCTTCTAGCCTAGACAAGTTTATTCATTCTAAGCTATTTTTCCTTATCTTAATGTCTCTGATTATGGTCAGTTGATAAAATCTTAAAATTATATCTAACGGTGTTTTTTTTCCAGACTTGGTAAAACAAAAATAGGGATTGTCATCTTCTGTAATCAATGACATCTTTGATTTAATAAAATGCAGTGATGGATATTAAATAAAGATTATATGTGTGAATGAATGAATGGCTGAATGACATTCATGTTCCCCCTCAAATTACATTATGAGTCCTACTGAAAACCTAGCGTTTCTGCCTTACAGGTATTGTGGCAGTGGAACAGTTTTGCATTATTCTTTCTGCTAGTCTTTTCTTGTAAAAGTAAGGCAGATAATAAATCAGCTCAAATTGTTCTTAATCACTTCTTTTTGTAATGGTGTAATCTGTTCTGTATATTTATCTTCTAGGTGAAATTGATCTTCAAATTCTCTCCAAAGTTCAGGTTCAATACCCAGGAGTGCATATCAACAATGAAGTTGTTGAACCGAGTGCAGAACAAATCACCAAATACAAAGGTACCTGTAGCCTTTGGTGCTATATGCCAAATCTTATCCACATCATCTCATATTTTTTTGCCTTGAATGATTAATAATACAGTGACTGTGGTATGCTCTTTGTAAGCTTCTTTGGAGAAGAACCTAATTAATTCTTAAAGGCATGAATGAACGCCTCAGCCTGTGAACAGTGAATAATTAGACTCTTATTGACTCTCCATCTATTCCCATGTCGTCATCAACTATTAGTTTTAATTTTTATTCTTAGGATCAGAGTCATTCATTGATTCAGAATATGACAGAATTCCTGCCCTTAAATAGCTTATCTTTAATGGGTTACAACAAGAATTGGCTTTTTTTTTTTTTTTCTGAAAAGGGCCAAGTAGTAAATGTTTAAGACTCAGAAGGCCACTAGTCTCTGTCACAGCTAATTGACTTTGATGTTTTGGCACAAAGCTCGCCATAGACAGTATTTAAACTGAATATTAGTGTGTTTCAATAAAACTTCATTTATAAATGCTGACATTTGAATTTCATATTCACAAATTATGAAATATTGTCCTTTTGATTTTTCTAGTCATTTAATAATAATAAAATAATTAATAATAATGTAATAGCATGAAACATGAATGACAGGAAATAAAACAATATATGTTTTTAGTTTATAGTTCATGCAAAATAGGTGGTAGACCAGATATAGTCCTGGGCCTTGGTTTCCTGCTCCTGATTTCACAGTCATATTACCTGTTTCATATCAACTTTACATTAATAAAATTTACTAGTGGATTCCCCATTAATACTAAGATAACGTAACCTATATCTAACCAGGTTCTCATAATTATTTCTTATTGACTCTTCCTTTTGCCTCTAATTTTATTTAATCCTGGGAAAAAATCAGAATGAGCCCCAAGGTTTCCCAGAGCTGCATAAAAAAGAAAAATGTGTTTTATATCTGTTATGTATATAACATTGATTGCATTAAAATTCTAAATGGAAATTGGTTCCACATTTGCAATTAAAATTGATGGTGTGCCACCTCTTCTCTGTATTTTAGAGCTTGTAGCCAAGACATCAAACCTCGAGAACATAAAGTTTGCTTGGCATAAAGAGACATCATCTGAATATCAAAATAGAATAATGGAGAAAAAAGAGCTTCAAAAGTGGGACTTTATTCATATGATTCAGGTAAGAAATATTTATTATAATAATACTATCAGAAGGGAGATTTTTCAGAAATATTCATCAAGCATGTGTAAAATTTTAATGTTTTTTTAAATGAAAATTTTGTGATTTCTCATTTTACAAGGGAGTATTATCTGTCCAAATACAAGTATTGATAAAATTTTCCTTAACATCCCATAAGGCCAATTTTCTTTATTCCATAGTCATCACTATATCTATATATCTATATCTATCTATCTATCTCTATCTATCTATCTATCTATCTATCTATCTATCTATCTAGATATAGTTTTCTGCAGTGAGAAACCCACACAGATTCATATACAGTAGAACGAATACATAATAGAGTGAATATATGTCCTGGCTAGTTTTCCAGTGACCCAAATGGTCTGGAATGTACATTTTTTTCTAAATCCTTTTTTGCTTTAGCCTTTAATAAACAGCCTACACATACTGTGTATAAAGCAAAAGGGGCAAGTTTTATGATTCCTCAGATCAATAAAGTCTTACTGATATCAGCCAGTCATTCAGCAGGACTTTATTTCTATGTCTAGCACCAAGAGCCTAATGAGTGATAACTCTTGAATAGAGGACCAGATGAATAGATGAATAGATGAATTTCCAGCCTTCAAGGATATTTCTGGATAGCATGAGCAATGTCTAGGCTTTGAGAGTTGGCTACTACCAGCAGATGTGCATATTTCAGATCTACCACTTGGTGAATAACAAAACACTTTTTCTGTTCTATAGACCACAACTATAGTTAGACCAAAGAAATAAACTCATGAAGAAACCAAAAGAAGAAACGACCCCAAGGTTGACATATTTAGGCAATCCTATACCTCTGTTCCCTTGGTTGATAAAACCTTTTCTGCATGAGGGGGCACTTAATGTTGTTAAGCAAGCCTTGGGTGTTTGTCTATTATACTTGCTTTCCCCCCTGCTCACATAACTATTTCATAACTCCCTTCTTTCCTTATTCTTCTGCAACCTCCCCCTACCATTCATCTCCAGCTGATGACCTCACTTCTTATTGTGTGAAAACCATATAAATTATCAGATGAAAACTCATCTCTCACCCTCTTAACTTGCAAACACAGCTGCATTTGTAACCATCATCTCCTGTCTTATTGCAGAAGCCTCCTCTTATCAAAAGCCAGTTCTTCCACTGATGCTCTGATTCCCATTATTTTCCCTGTTCTAAAATACTGTGACTTTAGGCATCAGCTTCTTTGTCGTCCCCCACCCCCAGACTTCCATGTTTGTCCTTTCTTCCTCACAGCATCTCTCTTTCCTTTATCTACTCAACATTTTCTGAGCTCTATCTCTTCACTGCTACTTCAGTCCTGACACTCTCCCGATATTCACAGTCAGCCCACAGGTCTCCCTGTGTCTTAGATAAATTCAGGATGTCTGCTATGGCCCTGTCTCTTTTTCATCCAGGTCATGTCATAGGTATTTAGCCATCTTGTGGATCAGCCATGTTGGTGCCTGTCTGCACTCCCTGTGGTGGGCAATGTGGAGTGACCTGGCACTCAACACGGCTGCTGAGGCAGTATGGGCCATAAGCAGCTTCATTCTACTTCATTCATTCACGTGAGAGAGTCTACAGCTTAAGTTGTTTTCTCTTTGTGCAATGAATTCTGTTATGAACACACTATATGGAATATTGAATTCTTGTCTGAGAGAGAAGAAGGTGAGATATAAGAAGTGTCTGTGGGGTGGTTAGCCACTTGGGCATGAAAATCATTAGGGAAATTTTCCCACTCCCAATGAATAATATCACACTCTGTGTGTTGGCTAGAAAGTTCTGCACTTACTAAAAGAGGGTGGGCTGACCCCTAACACTCTATGACCAAGCATGTAGCTTCCTGCTTTTTTCAGGTCAATGTCCTAGACATCAGAATTTGTCACATTTTTCTGTGATTTTCTTTCTTTTTTTTTTTTTTTTTAAAAAGCATCTGTGAGCACATGGAGAAGCTAGTACAAAGGACTTAATTTTAAAGCAACGTTCCATGAAATGGGGTCTGATTTTATGGTGCCAGCACCATTTTCTCCCAGAAGACTGCAGTTCACAAAATATAGAATAGGCAGAGGATCGATGTCCCCATGTAGAATGGAATCAAAGTGTCTTCAGCTATAAATGTCTGTGTTATAGAAGCCAGAAGTAAAATTTAAACCTATTTGGCTTTAATTGAACAAATGCCATAGTTTTCCATTTTCCCAAATATTTTCTCATGCTGTTGTCCTATCTCTCCATATAACATCTTTAATCTTTAAATGTCTTAAGAGTTTTATTGGATAAAAATTCACTGAACTTGAAAATCAAACCTTCTAGTCTAAGCAACAAAGACTTCAACACAGAGCAATGTCTCATTTCTCTCTTTTTTTTCTTTTTCCATTTCTCTTTCCCTCCTATCTAGATGCTGTATTATGTAGAAGATATTCCAGCTACCCTGAAATTCTTCCATAGTCTCTTAGCTAACAATGCTAAGATTCTCATTATTCTTGTATCAGGTATGTTATTTTCGTTCAGCCTGAATTTTAAAATGGCAATAGTGCATGTATGGATTCATGTGTTTGAGGAGATCTAGTATATTTTGTCATTGTTATAAAATTCTTGCCTTAGTTTCTGACTCCAATCAATTATTTTTTATACTATTAAGAAAGTCTTTTGCTACATTCTTAGTTTAGGGGGTGTAAAGGAATTAAATATCTATTTACTTCTTTTTCTTGGGTAAAAGTCTTTGTCTTCTTTTATGAATTCTTTATACAACAGAGGACAGTCAAGTGATAGTTTTAAAAAATATCTTATTAGTTATTGATGAACTTTTATTTATTTGTTTACATGTGGTGCTGAGAATTGAACCCAGTGCCTCAACATGTGAGGCAAGCACTCTACCACTGAGCCACAACCCCAGCCCCAAGTGATAGGAATTTTTAAGTGAGCCTAAGAGTAGTGAATATTTATACTTACTTTGTGTCACTTGAGTATCCCTTTGCTTCTGGATATTAATTAATAACTAAAGGTTAAAATATTTAAGATGCTATCATATTTGATTAATTTCCATTTGTAAACCATTAGCAACACTGCTCATTGTAGCTTTTATCAAACACCTATAAAAAATGGCCCACAGGTTTGTTTTGGGATGATGTATTTGCCAGAGAAGCTTTTGATCCCATCGTGTGGCTTCCAGAGATACAGAGTGCCATGTAGAGAACATAAGTAAATGTTCTTAGAAAATGAAACGTCAACATTATTGAGGTCATTTATTTATTAGAGTAATCCTTCCATGCAGTCTTTGTGGATTGCCCACCTAGTGATAAATGTTTTGATTCAAAATGCAGAAAGTCCCTATCATCCTCAAACACACAGCCGACTCCATACTCAATCCCTATGTCATAAAATTAACTTGTTCTTAAATATAATGAATAGTTTTCAAGATTGCAAAAATAGTTGCTGCTTATAATCCAGGGCTTGAACTTATGAGAGTTTGGCAATGAGACTTCCTGTACACAACCTGCTCCCCATGAGAACATTTTGATATACTATTTTTTTTTTACCTCTAGTTAGTTAAAAGTATTAATTTTTGTGGGAAAAGTCTGGCTTTCCATTTAAAAGAGATTATGTAAACAGGATCCTTTCTACTAATTTCTCTCTAAATTAGGACACTGGGCTAAAGTACTTTGCACTGCATTTAGGAACATAAAAGTAAAGTTAGTTCTTCACACAAAAGTCTGTTCTTGATGATCTGCATCAGTGGACCTGAAAAAGTCTTGCATACAGAAATAGCAATTCATCCATAAATAATATGGTTTGATTTTAAAATATATTTCATATCGATAGCAAGTTCACTTTCATATTTATATTTGGTTATTCTAAAATATTTTTTAGGAATTAAATATTAGAGTATCAGAGTATATGAGTATATATTTATTAATTTTAAAAAGCCAGATTTAGAAAGTGACATGAGTTTTCTATGCAACTGAGAACTGACCAAGTAACCTCATAGACACAGTGTTCTGCTGGCCATGTTATGAATGAGTTACTAGAAGCCATGGTTTATTGGCATCAAGAAATGTGAAAACTAGGGCTAGGGATGTAGCTCAGTGTTAAAGTGTTTGCCTAGCATGCACAAAGTCCTGAGTTCGATCCCTAGCACCATAAAGAGAGAGAGAAATGAAGACACACATAAGAATGATACATGGGGCAAGAAAAGTAAGGCACTTGCTACTTATGTAAACTTGGTCTCTGAGCCTTAGCTAATTCAAGGCTGTTTCTGGATAATCATACCTACATTGTATCTATCCAAAAATGTACTTCATATGTGCTATGTAAATATGTACTCAGGGATAAAAAAAAAAATCAACAGAGGGTAAAGACTCAAAAACAAGTTAGCTCTTTTTGAAAACTATTTATTGAATGATTGGTTGGTTGGATGATTGTGGTGTTTAGGATTAAACCCAGGACCTCAGATATGCCTGAAAAGAATTTTGAGGAAAAAGTTAATCAAGGTAGTTTGGATGGTGGAAATAAATATTTTATTTACTTTCTCAATATGCGGTTCACGGGTTCTTTTTATACTGCTTATAGTATAGGAGACAGATGTCCTAAAGAGAAAAATATTGCTAACAGATGTCACTCCTAAACATAAGAATGCAATAAATAAGAGAAGTCAGACTATGGCACTGGGACTGATTTCCTCTTTCCTTTCCCATGGTCACTTCTTAGAAGAGGGCTTAACTGCTGTGGAAGAAATACCACATCCATATCTTCTTAAAAGAAGAACCACTGAAGAAAAGAGAAAATAGATTTAGATCTTTTATTTTGAATTCTTCACTTCTCTCTCTCCTAATGCTAAAATGTCTCTTATTTTTGCTTTTATCAAAAGTGTTAAATAAATTAAAGATGTTAAAATGAAAGAAATAAACACCTTCTCAAGATAATTTTCTTTACAGTTCAAGAAAACATTCCATCTGAAAAAGGAATATGTTGAATATATTGATCATGGTCCTCAACTGAGTTTAAGTGGAATGCCTCCAGGTTCCCTAATCCTATAGGGTTGTACTTAATTCTTATAATTACTGAGTAAATGACTGAAGCTTTCATCCTAAGTAATGTGGGTAGTCTGTCCACCCTCCTCATCATTCCTGTACTCATGAGGATTCCTGGGCTCAGGCTTGCATGTGCTGCACCCACCCTTTCTCATCTTGTTCCACCATGTACAGGCATGGACATAGTCATACCTCCTTCATTCTTCTAAGCATTATTCTTTGACACATGAGGGAAGGCAGAGCAGAGGACAGAATTCAGCATTAAGGTCTCACAGCTAGTTTCTTTCTGGTCTTTCTCTTGCTATCTCAGGGCCCACCTCCCTTGGACCTACCTACTCTCATAACTTCTTTTGACCTCTCCATATTCTTTTAGCTTAATGCTGAGATGCCAGCTCCTCACTTCCCTAGTCTAATCCTTTTGTTACATGGCATAGTTTAATTCTCTTTTGCTTTACCTCTATCACCAAGATGAACCCTTGCACCCACCAACCTGCCTTACAACAACACATTTTCTGAGACAAGTTCTGTGGCCCTCTCATTGTCTGGAAGTAACTCTAGTTTCCTTTTAAAAAACAGAAATATTTACTTGGTTGTATCCAATATAAATATGGTTCATTGTTTTTAAATAAATCAAGCTTAGTTCTCAACATTGGAAACAAATTTAGCCACAAAAATTTTTCTAACCAGATATTGTTATATCAGTAAACATGTACTGAAATAATCCACATTGTTCTAGTCATTTCATGATAAAGCCTCAAATCCATCTCTGTTAGTCTACTCTATGAATAAAAGACATGTTTAAGAACTCTTTCTAGACTGAGGTGCTCCATCTGTGTCCCTCCTACTCCTCCTATAGGAAGAATTGCCCTAGCCTGTCTTGCTAACCAAATTAATTCTTCAAACTCCATTCTCTATTGACTTGTCAGATTAAAACATTTAATCTGGCTGGAAGTGTAGTGTAAAGTACATATTTAGCATGTGCAAAGCCTTGCATTTAATCCCTGGTACCAATAAATAAATAAAATAATTAAAAGGAAACAAATAGCTCATAAACTTGAATATTGGAATACCTAATCTGAAATGGTTCACACTGCACTCCATTTTTATCAAGATCTTATGATCACCTTCTACATGGAATTTGCTTCAACAAACAACAAAGATGTTTCAGGATGTATTTCATTTGTTTTAGTATAATATTTTCATCCATATCTGCTCTGTAATGAAGAAAGTGGAGTACTCATTGTAGGTAGACTCAGAACAGCTTAGAATTTATTTACTAAATTAAATTCCTAAGAGCACTCATCTAGCCAAGATCTCATCTAGGTAGATAGATCAATGACGTTTCTGGAGAATCATCTTGCTCTAAAGGATCATCTTAAGTAAGCCATGTAGCCTGAGTTCTTATATGCCAAGCAGTCAGATATTAACCTGTTCCCAGGTGGATGAATTCTTTAATTGAATCTACCAAATTACCATTATTTGAGCATTATATAGACACTTATGATTGAAATTTATTAGATGTTAAGGTAATGAAATATGGAGTCATTTGATCATCTAGTTTGGCTAAGATGTGGTATGGGATCAGCATTGTTCAATACATACCTCAGTTCCATGTTTGCTGTATAGCATAGTTACTTGTGGATTTGGTTTGTTCAGTTTTTTGAGCTTGTACTATCAGTCAATTGTAGGCTTTGAAAGGTACCGAGATAACCATCATATTTCTTTTTTTTTTTTAAGAGAGAGAGAGAGAAATTTTTTTTTAATATTTATATTTTAGTTTTCGGTGGACACGACTTCTTTATTTTATTTTTATGTGGTGCTGAGGATCGAACCCAGCACCCCGTGCATGCCAGGAGAGCACGCTACCGCTTGAGCCACATCCCCAGCCCCAAACCAACATATTTCTTCTCCTTCTTTTGAGTGGGTGGAGTACTGGGGATTGAACCCAGGGACACTTAACCACTGAGCCATATTTCCAGCTTTTTAAAAAAATTTCTTTTTGTATTTTATTTAGAGACAGGGTCTTAGAGCCTTGCTAAATTGGTCCTCCTGCCTCAGATTCCCAAGCTACTGGGATTACAGGTATGAACACCACACCTGGCTTTCCTCTACCTTTGAAAGACTCCTAATCTAAAGAAGTATTCAGATCTGTAAACACTTTAAGCAATGTGCTATTACATATAGGGAGTTCAGGAGAGTTTCTTGAGAGCAGGGTTTTTGCCTCTTAATTTATTGCCAGATCTTTATTAAACCTTTGCCTGCAGAAGATACTCAAAATGTGTTTGATCTGAACTGAACAGTTGTTTATTTCTACCTTGTGATATAAGAACTATAATTAGCTCTGAGTGTCCATCCCCCCCAAAAAAGGACATTTCCTTTTAAACTGCCTATAGGTATGTGGTGGCACATACCTGTAATCTCAGCAACTCAGGAGGCTGAGAAAAAAGGATCACAAATTCGAAGCCAGACTCAGCAACTTAGCAAGTCCATTAGCAACTTAGTGAGACCCTGTCTCAAAATAAAAAATAAAAAGGACTGGGTATGCAGCATGGTGGCAAAAAGCTCCTGGGTTAAATCACTGTTACCAAAAATTAAAATATAAATAACATAAAATATACTATTTGCAGGTGGGTTTTAAAATAAACAGAAATAAAAGGTTCAATCATACACATGCACAGAGCACACAGAGAGAAAGAGAGAGAGAGAGAGAGAGAGAGAGAGAGAGAGAGAGAGAGAGAGAGAGAGA